AGAGGTCCTTCAGTAGGGGGGGGGGGAACAGTACATATGTCTCACTTCATTTTTACACTACAATCTTCTCCATTAGAATTCCTACAACAAATGTTACATTTCAAACGTCACTTCATCAGTATTATAACTGGATTTATGGAACTTAAATATAGTAGTGAAGCATGGGTATCAGGCTAGCAATAAATATTCTCTGACCTGACCTGGACAGCCCAGGCTAGCCTGATCTCATTAGATCTTGGAAGCTTAACAAGGTCAGCCTTAGCTAGAATTTGGGTGGGAGAGACCACCAAGGAATACCAGGGTTGCGATGTTGAGGCAAGCAATGGCAAGCCACCTCTGAATGTCTCTTGCCTTGAAAACCCTAGGGGGTCGCCATAAGTCAGCTGTGATTTGACAGCAAAAACAACAAATATTTTCTACAACTTTAGGTGCTACTTCAGATAAAAGTCTACGGATGTCCAGTTGCTGCATTGTCTAGGGTGTGAGAGTTACATGTGGATTGCTATTTAAAAAAAAAAAATTATTGGAGAGAATATAATCATGAGACATGCTGTACATCTTCTCAGTACATTATGTCAGTGTTGTAGCTTCTTCCTTTAATACCAAATATTTGTTTACAGGAGGTTCCTGAAGTACAGGATGGAAGAAATTGCATTTCCCACATAGCATGGTTATTGCCTGCTTGGATCTGTTAAAAAGAGTGAATAAGCAAAAGGGGTCAAAGGTAGTTGGGGATAGAAAGGACCAGGCTTATAATGGAATCCATGTATCATCTAATTCAAGCCACTCCCTGAGGATGAACAGTCTTGTGCCTAATCAGTCTAGCAGGATTTTTATCTAGCTTTGTGGTATTGGTTTTTTAAGTGTTCAGAGTTGTACAGCCTAGGTAGCTTGTGGTATTTCTGGAAACTTAGAAATAGTAAGGATGGAAAACCAGGATTTTTAAAAAAAATAACTTTTCTTCGAATGCACTGAAGTTTGCCATATTCTGCCTTTCTTTCCCTCCCTTTTTTCCATTATGGAAAAACTGAAGTCCTGGGTTTCTGCTGAGTATGAGGCCAGGAAGATGTTATAGCAGAAGAGAAGAGTGCGCATGTTGTTTATAGATATTAGGATACTCAACTCCGCTATGGTTAAGTAGATTCTTATTAGTACTGTATCTGAGACAGATTTAAGATGTTTGGCTTTTAGGATTTCTGAGTGAAGTTCTTTATTGCTAATGCTAGAGCAGACCATTATTTCATCATTCCTGCCTAACTGAATAGGCGCTGTACAGACAGGCACTTTAGGCGTTCTACAAATAGCTCTTCCTTGCTTTAGTTGGGCAGACTTAGGTCAGTATATGAAGGCAGGTATTATATGCGTTTTAAGGCAGGGTCTCCTGTGAGATTTAGTGCTTTAACAACTTTGAACTAACTGGTGGATTTCTGCCTTACGGTATAGGGCTTAGTCATATCAGGACTAGGAAGGAATTGTGTTTCTGAAGTCATGCTAATTTCTTCTGATTTAAGTTGTCAGCCAACTTTTCTCTGTATCACATATACCATGGGATTCTCTCCTTCAGATGAGGACAGCTGGAGTGATGGAGAGCAGGAGCCTCTTACTGTGGATCAGACATGGAGAGGTGACCCTGACAGTGAAGCAGACAGCATTGACAGTGACCAGGAGGACCCGCTTAAGTGAGTCGTGTAATATGGTGATGCCTGTGTGAATTAGTGTGGCAAGGTAATCAAAATTAGGAGTTCATAGCATTCCTGCAGACAAAAAAAGCTGTTGTTGATCTCAAAACTTGCAATTGAGTGCAACTTTATTTTTTCAAGGAAATGGTAGTATGTGGTACAGCATGCTAGCTAGACATGTAAATAAATAGGTGATAATTTATTCCTCTTCTGAAGCAGATATAGGCATTCTCTGAAAATGCAATATTTACTAAAGTATCCCTTTTTTCATGTGCTGACCCCAGGTTATGAAGCCTCTGAAATTAAATTTATAGCTTAATTCTATCCCAAAGGCTTTAGGAAGGTAACAAATGTTTAAAGGAAACATTTATAGATGATATGTTAAAATCCACACCTACCAAATTTGCCTAATCGTGACCAGTAAACAACCACTTAAATAAAGCCTTCAGTGCTTCCAAAAGAAGCTCTGGCTTTAGAATGTCTGTAAGGGAGAAGCTCCAGTTCTGCAACAGCCCTCTGTACACTGATGTTGCCTGGACTTGGGGCACACATGGAACACTGGAGATGACATCGTTGTTCATTCTTGCGCTTGTTGGATTAGTGGGGAGATGTGTGTTCAGTCACTGCCAGGAGACTGGCAGTTGTATTCTGCACATGTCGGTGACTGCAAATAGGTACTACAGGCAAGCCCACAGAGAGTCCATCATTGGTCATCTCACATATTGTCAGGCCCTTGATAATATGTGGAAAGTGCTTCAGGCTGCTACTGCAACCCAACTCACTGTGATGAATCCAGGCACATACTGTGACTGAGGCATAGTTGTGACCACCAAGATTTTCTGGGGTTCTGATGGGAAGCATATGCTGTCTGCCTCTGAGCTGAAGCTTTGTCAAGTCCAGCGTTCTTTTCCTTAAACCTTTGAGGAGAATGCTGAACTGTCTCAATGCTCACAGCTGTCAACAGTGTTCCAGACGAAGGCCACTGGGGTCTAGCTGATTGATTGCTTTGCTATTAAATAGTTTTCTTTTGCTAGCTGTCTCATTTGGCAACTGCATAAATTAGTTTGCTCTGGAGCCATCCTTCATGAGCTAAGGCAAAAATGTGTGAGCCAGAGGCTAAAAAACTGTGAGCTAGCTCACACTGACTCATCTTAGAGGGAACACTGGTCACAGCTGTCAACAGTGTTCCAGATGAAGGCCACTGGGGTCTAGCCGATTGATTGCTTTGCTGTTAAATAGTTTTCTTTTGCTAGCTGTCTCTTCCCTATTGATGACTAGGAAGTATAAACTGTAAGTCGATTTGCTTACTCATTAAATTGGATTCTCTGGCAGACATGCTGGGGTGTACACTGCTGAGGAAGTGGCGCTGATCATGAGAGAGAAGCTGATCCGGCTGCAGTCTCTGTATATTGACCAGTTCAAACGGCTCCAACACCTCCTGAAAGAAAAGAAGCGACGGTACTTGCACAGCCGCAAAGTGGAACATGAAGCCATAGGTCAGTGTTCCCCACTGCTTCCTGCTTGATAGTTGTGAGATAGGCCACAGAAGCCTTGCTAAAGCTGAACAGGAGTTTAAGGCAGTAATGTAAAGTGGGGTCAAGATGCATTTTCAAGACCTTAAAAATGACAAAATGACCATGTTTTTATTTGGCTGGGATTTGCAACAGGCAGGGTAGTATTCTGTGTCTGTCTTAAGGATGCTTCCTTGGTGTCTTCCAGGCAGCAGCCTTCTGACAGGCCCAGAGGGACTTCTAGCTAAAGAACGTGAAAACCTAAAACGGCTGAAATACTTGAGACGATATCGGCAGCGGTATGGTGTGGAGGCTCTTCTGCACCGACAGCTGAAGGAACGTAGAATATTGGCTACTGAGGGTGCTGCTCAGCAGGTACTTGAGTCAGACTGCGCTTTTATATGTGTAAATTCCCTGGCCTTAGGGAAGGTAGAAATTGTGGGCTTAGGGATTTTCCCACCCCTTGAAGGTAATATGAACACATAAGAGCTAGCTTTTGCGCAGTGAATAACTGCTGGTGTAAAGATTATCAGCTAAGAACTCCCTATTCATAATCCAAAATGCACAGTGAATTAAGAAGGAGGGCAACTAGCTCTTGACATCCACTGAACTGGTTATTTCTTTTGGACTCAGCATGATTTTATCCTGCCAGTTTCATCTGTTCTGTCTATTATGTTACATTGACTCTTAGATGCAACTTTTATAATTGAATGTAAGAGTCCATTCCTGTATAAGGCTTTTCTGCCAACAGTATTGGAACATTGTCTTGTGCTCTGGTCTGTCCATTTCAGGCACACACCACCCGTTCCAGCCAGAGATGTTTGGCCTTTGTGGATGATGTTCGGTGCTCCAACCAGTCTCTCCCAATGACAAGACACTGCCTTACTCGTATCCTTTCAGCATCTTAGTTGCTTGGTTCAGTATTTCTGCCTATTCCACCATTTTAGAGCTGTAGTCAATAATTTTTATTTTCTTGGCCCTGAATCAAAGCTGATGTTGTAGCCACTGGTTTCAAGCAGAAGCCCAGATAAATGCCTTTCTGTGGTCTGTTGGCTCTTCCGTAGCTTCAGGACGGAACAGTCAATTCAATTGGAAGCAACAGCCAGACCTCAAAAGTTTAAAATTAAAGCCTCGATGCTGAAATAAAGCTCTTGTTTATGAAAATATACAAGTAGAGAGTTCTTCTAGACTTCCTGATCAGTTTTTAGGAAACTAATAGAATTTACTGAAATCTATATTTATACTTTGGTGTGTTTAGACAGTCAGAACATAACCTCGGATAGGGAGCAGTTCAAGGATGGTAGTGTCACAAATGCGCTCTGGGTCTCTGTGTTCTCACATGCATGTAGTGTGTTTGCCTGCATATAAAAGTGTGTTCTCGCTTCTTATGCCACCAAGTTACAAACCCCAGCCTGTCACAGAACCAGCAATTTGGGGTACCCCAGTAAGGCTGCCTCTGAGCAAGTACAAAGGGCAGAGCTTTCCGATTACTTTAGACTTCCTCCCCCCATGCATGCATGTTCTTAGCATATAGGAGCAGTCTAGAAATGTGGGTAGGATTTAAATAATAGTTTGCTTTCTTAAATAGATTAAGTCAGAGCACATACATGGAAAATAACTGTCATGTCTAGTGAGTACAGATCTAAGGATAAGCATATGAACATAAATCTAGCTAAGTTACAGTACAAGACAGTTGCCTTTCATGGAGTAAAGACATCCCCAGACACCCCCCCACACACACACAAACACACTGCATCCTTTGCAGAGGATCCTGGGTCCCAGCATCTGGGCAAAGCAATAGAATAAAGAATCCACCCCCCAATCCAGATTTAGGGCTCCTGGCCTCATGAGAGATATCCCAAAGCTCTTCCCCAGTCAGGCTAGGTGTCATGAACTAAGCGCGTCATACCACAGAGCTTGTTATATAACAGTCATCCATCCCTCTTGGAAGGTAAGCTAAATAGTTATCTCTGAGCTGAAATCCACTTCCAGCTTTCTCTGACACTCCGGTGCATTTTATTGTCCTTCACTTGTGGATATAAACAGTTGTCATGGTTTCAGGGATTCTTCAATGTGCTCCAAAGCATCCTATAATCTCCAGAAGCACAATGGTCAGAGCTTTTACTCCTATTCTGAATTTAGATTTAGCATAACTCAAACTCCGTGGCAAATCAATCTAATGACCAGGTGTTCATTTAGTAACCCAAATATAGATGACTAAGACTGCTGGTTGTGACGTGCAAAGGAAAATGTCTCCACTAAAAATTTCTGTGAGGTTTTATAAATTCTGTTTCTTTTGTGAAGCTAAATGGCATTTGACAGAAGTCCAGCATCATTTCCTAAGTCCTGGATTGTTTTAGAGAACAGACAGCAAAATTGTTTTAGAGAGCAGGCAGCAAAATGTTAACTCAGGAAGGAGTCTGGGCCCAAAATAGAATTCGAGGTTCCTTTTGGACTGGAAAGAATCTGGACCAAAATAGAATTCGAGGTTCCTTTTGGAGGGGAGGTTCCACTCAGTTTTTTGGCCGTGCCTTTTCAGAGTTCCAATGTTGCTCTCAATCCCTGGAGGAGCATAAATAGAGTGGCCTGTGCCCCCCCCCTTTTAAAAATGTCCCCCATCTTTAAAAATCCTGGCCACACCCCTGTGTGGCTCTGCCACTGAAGCCATCCCAGAAACTTCCGTTTAGTACAGAATACAGCTGCCCTGTTGCTAATGTCCATATTAGTGAGGTTTTGAAAAATCTACAGTAGTTGCTGTGTTTTTTTTTTCTTGAGTTCAATTAAAAGTGCTGGTTTTAACCATTGAAGCTCTTAATGGCCTGGGACCTGCATATATGGTGGACCACCTCTTCCAGTAAGAACCCTCAAGTGTAATGCTTGTCACAGCAGATGCTGCTCACAGTCCCAATACCAAGAGAGGTTAGGACCACTCAGGCCCGTAGCTAACAACTTTTTGGCTGCCCTGTTCCTTTAGAATAGATGGTCTAGAGAACTGTATGAGAAGTGTCTCATCTGTAGCAATTTCTTTTGGAAAAAATATAAGTCTGAAAGCAGAATAGCTATTTTAAGTTGGAGGAAGACTTATTAGATTTGAGGAATGCTTTAAACTTTGCTGAGCTGAAAGGTACAATACAGGTCTCTGTGTTTGGAAACCAACAGGAAAGTGGTATATAAATATTTTTAAAATAAATAGAAACCTTCCAGCACTAACATTTACCTGGAGGATGTTTTTATAAGGGTGCAAGTGCAGGTCAGTTCATCCCACTTTGGTTGGCACCCCTAAACTCCTGTGTTTCTTACAGTCAGGACTGGTTGCCAAACACACTGAAGAGAGTCACCAGCTTTGAGAAGTGGGGGTGGAAGAGACCTTCAGTTCTTCAAGCCCGAATCAAAAGATTCCTTGGTGGAACTACTAGCCACGATGGGTAGAAGGAACCTCTATATACAGAAGTGGCAAACCTCGGAATACCAGTGCTAGGAGGCGGCATCAGCCTTGGCCTCTGTGCCCATTTGTAATCCTCTACAGCTTCTGGTTGGCCACTGCAGGAAACTATATGCTGGTCTAGATGGACCACTGGTCTGATCCAGCAACCTCTACTTACGTTCTTATGTGGGACCTCCCTGATTAGTTCTATAATTCACAGGTTTTCCACCTGAACTATCCCTAGATCTTGGGGCATTCCCTTTCAGACCTTTGAGATCTGTTTCATTTGCGGAGGGGCTGTGGTTCAGTGGTAGAGCATTTGTTTGGCATGTAGGAAGTCCTAGGTTTAGTCTGCAGCATCTCCAGTTAAAAAGATCAGCTAGTAGGTCATGTGGAAACCTCTACCTGAGGTTCTGGAGAGCTTCTGCCAATCTTAGTAAGCAGTATTGATCCTAGTGGAACAGTGGTGTGACCTTAGTGGACCAGTGGTCTGGTGTGTTTATCACCTAATTCAGGGGACTTAGGTGATGTTTCTAGTAGTACTGATGCGGTGAAGATAGGAGCTCTGTTTGTACAAGAAGGGCTCCGTATGTTCCACAAAGGCAAAGTAGTGCTCTGCATGAACCATGCCCACCAGAGGATATTTGTAGGGTGATCATGTGAGCTACATTTTCAGCATTCTTTAGGCATTGCAGTATAGATAAGCTTGCCACTACAGGTGCCTCTTTGCAGGAGGGTCCAGGACTAGGCCCTCTAATGTGTGGTGCGTTCCAAATCCTAGGATGCATGTGGTGCTCTTGAGCATCACTGTTACCTGAGACTAGAAAGCTGAACTTGCCTTAATGTTCTTTCCCAGCCAACAAATGTTAGAACTGACCCTTTCTATTTTCCATGATTACATGCTGTGTTCTTTTATATATTTCCTTATATTAGGTTCAGTTAAAGACACAACTAGATGTCCTTCTGTCCTGTCTTAAAGGGTTTTATTTTCCTCTTTGGTGTGTCCATGTTAGGCTGCTGCTATTCAGTTTTCTTCGTGGAAATTTTCTACCAGCTGACCTCAGGTCTTGAAACTAAAGGCCCCACACCACCAAAGGCATTTCTGGTTCTTGTTCCTGAGTCCTACATATGCAGAGGGGGTTAACACACCACTGGATCCAACTTTCTGTATTCCTAACTTAAATCTTACTTACTTTTATTTAGCTCATTTGACCAGAGGTCTTAAGCTTAAACAGAACTGGAATAAAATTATAGCATCAGTTGATATTACATAGGAGAATTAGAACAAATCCAATACACAAATAATAAAATCTGCATCATCATAATATTAGAACCATAGAAGGTTTGGAGAAGATTAAAATTCCTTAATATAATAAATACACTGTGTAATTAGAGTTAATAAAAGGTTAAAATGAGATAGACCCTGAATGATAAGATAGGGTAAACCTTCTGTTAAGATCTTCAGAATCATGAGTTGATTGTAATCTAAAATCCTAGTAAGTTATGTAATAAAACCATTATTTATTTGCAGTTAACTGAGGGACATTTCTCTGGAGTTTCAGAGAGATTACTATTGCCAGATACTTTGCAACAGAATAAGTTATTCCAGGATCAATATCTGCCAATAGTTGAGATGTCAACCAAGGCTCCCTGTTTAAGGAAGAAAGCAAAACTCCAGTGAGCACGCAAACTAGGCTGGAGGACATAAATCTAAACTGTTCTGGATCTTTGTATAGACTTTACTGCTACCCACAAACTTCATATTAGTATCCTGAGTCCCTTGTTGTTTTGTCCTTCAGGATACAAGCATTTTCAAGCAAGAAAGCAGGTGTTCTGCCATGTCACATATTTTGTGTTTTCTCATGCAGAATTTTTGTTATTTGAAGTTGCAAAATCCCAGATTGTCTGGTTTGCTAAATCTGTGTTGAACAATTCTGACGACTGCTTATGGTTGGCAAGGGCTAAGCTGCTTGTTTTGTAAATTTTGCCCACTTCCTTTGACTGCATCTTCAGATATTTGCCAGGACACCAATCAGCTTCTTTTTAAGTTGTGTCAGGGGTCAGAAGAAGCACCCTGCAGCAAGCCAGTGCCTGTAAGCCTCTCTGAAGATCCCTGCTGCCCACTCCATCTCCAGCTACCACCTCAGATGTATGTCCCTGAACAGGTACTGTCTGTTCCCGAGGAGCTGGAAGCTGCTTCCACGGATCTGTACTTGAGCGCAGCTGAACTCCGGCCCACAGAGAGCTTGCCGCTGGAGTTCAGTGATGTAAGTGTATTGTAATGCAGCATCTGCCCACAGCACTTCAGAAGGCACAATTACAGCTGAACTGGGTAGGACTGCTTCAGTAGTGATGTGGGTTTGAAGATTCATGTAAAAGAGCAAGTGGGAGAATGCTAAAGGAGCTGTAGCATGCAAGATACAGGAATGATTGAGAAGCCGTGGGTTAACATTGTCAAGGAACTAAAAGTTCACTAAATATGCGCAAAGGCTCTCATGGGACAGTACCACTTCCTTGCAATTCTTGAAGAAGGATTTCTGTAGCACCTACATAACCCAGGTACATAAGACAAAAGACAGTCACAACGCTAGACACACAAGGAGAGTAGAGTAAGATCAGTCAGGGGACAGTAGCACAAAGAGGGGAGTTCTTGTCTGCATTTGGGAGGAGCCAGGCTAGCAGCTGCTTGAAAGTGAAGACTTCCAGTGGGAGAAAAGATGCAGTCAAGGAATGTCAAGGAATGGAGGATGGTTTTATAGATGAAGAGCATACCAAAGAAGCAGAGAGTGAGAAGGGGTTGAGGGAGGAGCAGTAAATAAATGGGAGCAAGAGAATTAAGACATTTTAGCATTCTTCAGAAGCTCTTTACATAGAATCAGTGGGCAGCCAGTGTAGAGAATGGAGGAGCAATGTGATTGAATGCTTCTGCCTCAGTTAAAAAAAAAACAAAGCAACTTGCTGTCTGTAGATAGCTAACATATAGTCACGGGATAAAAGGACAAGTCCTTTTGTGGATCAAAAACTGACTAATTAATAGGAAACAGAAAGAGTATAAATGGGCAATTTTCTCAGTGGAGGGTGGTAAGCAGTGGGGTACCACAGGGATCAGTACTCGGTCCGATGCTTTTTAACTTGTTTATTAATGATTTGGAGTTGGGAGTAAGCAGTGAAGTGGCTAAATCTGCAGATGACACGAAGTTGTTCAGGGTGGTGACAACCAGGGAGGATTGTGAGGCACTCCAAAGGGATCTGTCGAGGATGGGCGAGTGGGCGTCAATGTGGCAAATGGGGTTCAGTGTGGCCAAGTGCAAAGTGATGCACATTGGAGCCAAAAATCCTAACTATAAATACACGTTGATGGAGTCCGAACTGGCAGAGACTGACCAAGAGAGAGATCTTGGAGTCGTAGTAGATACTTACTGAAAATGTCGAGAAAGTGTGCCGCTGCAATAAAAAAGGCCAACGCTATGCTTGGGATTATTAGGAAAGGAATTGAAAACAAATCAGCCAGTATAATGCCCCTGTATAAATCAATGGTGTGACCTCATTTGGAATACTGTGTACAGTTCTGGTCACCACACCTCAAAAAGGATATATAGCATTGGAAAAAGTACAGAAAAGGGCAACTAGAAAGATAAAAGGGTTGGAACACTTTCCCTATGAAGAAAGGTTAAAGCGCTTGGGGCTCTTTAGCTTGGAGAAAATATGGCTGAGGGGTGACATGATCGAGGTTTATAAGTTTATGCATGGGATAGAGCAGGTAGAGAAAGAAGTACTTTTCTCCCTTTCTCACAATACAAGAACTCGTGGGCACTCAATGAAATTGCTGAGCAGTTGAGTTAGAACAGATAAAAGGAAGTACTTCTTCACCCAAAGAGTGATTAACACATGGAATTCACTGCCACAGGAGGTGGTGGCGGCTACAAGCATGGACAGCTTCAAGAGGGAATTAGATAAACATATGGAGCAGAGGTCCATCAGTGCCTATTAGCTACAAGGTATAGATTGGAACTCTGGGGCAAGTGATGCTCTGTATTCTTGTTGCTTGGGGGGAGGCAACAGTGGGAGAGCTTCTAGTGTCCTGACCCCACTGCTGGACCTCCTGATGGCACCTAGTATTTTTGACAACAGTTGTGAGAGTCTGACCCACAAATCAAGCAGTCACCAAGACTTGCAAAGAAAAGGCTTCCTATGTATTACAATCTAAAGCACTACAACATTAAGAAATCATAAGAAAATCCTTGTGCATAGGTACATAATCAATGTCATCTCCAGATTATATAACAATGTTTCAAAATTCGATTTTAGGAGATATTAGAGTAGTACAAAAGCTCTCTGTTTCATAAAGTGCTTGACGACAAGTCATAAGGAATCCCGGGATCCATTAGAAGCTTAGCATATTTGAGCATTAACATTTACTGAGATCAGCGTCCTATCTGAATGTAGTATTCCTTATGACTTGTTGTCAAGCACTTTATGAAACAGAGAGCTTTTGTACTATTCTAATATCTCCTGAGGAAGATCCAATTTTGAAAAGTTGTTATATAATCTGGAGACGACATTGATTATGTACCTATGCACAAGGATTTTCTTATGATTTATTAATTATGTTGTAGTGCTTTAGATTGTAATACATAGGAAACTTTTTCTTTGCAAGTCTTGGTGACTGCTTGATTTGTGGGTCAGACTCTCACGATTATTTTCTGATTGGGTAGTGTTTGTCCATATTTACCTAGTATTTTTGGCCACTGTGTGACAGTGTTGGACTGGATGGGCCATTGGCCTGATCCAACATTGGCTTCTCTTCTGTTCTTATATCAAAAACAAGAGTTCTGACTTAAATTACTTCATTGAGGCTTTTACGTAGGGAGCCTTCAGAATACAGATAGGGGAATCATGTCTTTGAAGCGATACTTTCTTCTTGAGATACTTTTCTTGTTGTTCCTTGAATAGGTAGTACTCCCCCCTAAACCCCTTCTCACTCTCTGCTTCTTTAGTATGCTCATTAGGAATAGAATTTTAGAATTTTCTGGATCTATTTAGAAGTGATTCTTGTTGTATTAGAAACAAATTCTGCTTTTAGTGAATGAGACTAAATGGTTGGCCCATGATCTTGTTCTGTCTGCTGTGATTAAGTCATTTAGGACATAATGCAGAGGCATCTTGTTGGGCAAGAACTCATCCTCGGTTTTCTGTGCAGTCACACATTGGGACTATGAATGCAGTGGTCTGCCATCAAGAGAGAGTCCTAGCTTTTGTAGACTGAAAAGGCGCGCCTCCCTCTTGGTGCACGTGGTCACATTTTTCTCTGAAACTGTCACATGCTGAAAGGGAGAGGCACCATTTTCCCTCAGTTCTTCTACCACCAAGCTGAAAGGACTTATCTAGCTTCAGTAGTTTTTCCATTCTTCATCGATCATCTGCATTTTGACGGTGACTCAAAAATAATTTTTCAAGAAGTGTCTTTAGTGTGGGACAAAAATGCCCCAAATGAATGAGCATTCGTTGTGCGTAATCTGCTTGGGTGAGCCTCACAATGTGTGTTCCTGCTGGCACTGCCAGAAATTAACCCCCAAAGCCTGGAGTGACCAGACATCCCATCTCAAAGCTACCCTCTGGGAACAGGCTTTGTTCAGCTCAGAAAGACTAGCAGCAAAGCCATCTGCTGCATGGGTCGTCTTTGCAACCCCAGCCAATGCCAAGGCCATCAACTTCTGTTCCAGATCAGGGCACAATTAGGATTCCCCTGGAGATGCTTTCCAGATCTCATGGACTCAGGGCCTGTTTTATGCTCTCCTCTGCTGTGCATTTCAGGTTCAAGAAATGCATTGCATTCTAATGATGCTATTTTAGCCATTCCAGGTATGGTTCTTGGATCTGTTAAGTATGTTGTTCTATGTTAATGTGCTATGCTCAGACCTTCTGCACCAAGAACATCAGGGCATTGCCAGGCTCTGCTTGACAGCATGGCTCCTAAACCTCAACCGCATGAAGTTTTCTCGAGGAGTTCTACATTCCCATAAGTGCACAGTGCATGTCTCTTATGCATGCAAATGGGAGAGATTCTCTGTTTGGATGTCAGGAAAGGGTCAGACTCCATTCTCTTGCTCTCTGCCCCTTATTCTCGAATACCTCTTTCCCCTGAAAGTCACAAGGTTGGCTCCATCATCTGTAAAGGTACACTTGGCTGTAATTTCGGCTTTTTATGACTTCATAGATGGATCTATGGTTTTTCATACACTTCCAGGCAATTGTTGAAGGCCTCTACAATCTTTATCCCCCAAGGGCCCCTATGGTCATGCAATAGCCCCCTCCTTGGTGTCATCACAGCTCATGTTATCACCCTTTGAACAACTGGCTACGTGCCCCATTTCCCCCCTTTTTTAAAGGTCTATTTCCTAGTGGCAGTTGGGTTACATCCACTAAGAGGGCTGGAGAACTGGCAGCTC